CAGAGCCTGGCTCAGCCCCCTGTGGCTCTCAGGAGATACTTAGCCTATGTATTTTATGGAAGCCCTTTCAGAATGTTATCCAGCAAGGCAGGAAAGAGTTCATTATGCCATGCCTGTCACGCACAAGAAAGATACCTCTTTCCAGCTCCTCTTTTTTGTCATTTAAAAGCTGCCCATCACTGTTTTTTATAAAAAACTTAATAAACGCCAACTTGTGATATTCGCGACACATGCGACAGCCCTGTGTCTGATCCTAACATTTTTATCGTGTCCACTCTTCAACAGCTGTGGGGATCCAGATGAAGCTGGAATTCTTCCAAAGAAAGTTCTGGACAGCTAGCCGACAGGTAAACCCCAGTGCTTGTAGGAGCGGTACTGTTAGAAGGGCAGGATTTTGGACGCCATACAGACATGGATTTTTGAAAGTGGGGCAGCTCTCTTATTTAAGTGGGGCTTGAGGGTGGGGGTTAGGGGGCGCTGCTGAGCCATGCCAGCTTTGGGACCGTATCTAAATCTCACACACAGAATGCTGTGATACAGTTTATTATCCTTGACAACTTGGGTGTTCTCAAAGTGGGAATCAGAAGATGGACGATGAGGGAATTATTTTGGTGATATTTTTCCCCGCTTTCTGACAATGCAGCATGTGTTTTGGGTGACAGTTGGATCTCAAAGATCCAGTTAAACCCTTGGATCCAGTTAAACCCTTGGATCCAGTTAAACCCTTGGATCCAGTTAAACAGTTATATCCAGTGAGACAGACTAGGTGCCAGAGATGGTTATTAGATATCTATAGACTATGAGTCAACTGAATTACAGTTCCACGAAATGGTTCCTCTTTCAGGGCAGTCTCTCTAACCACCTGACCACTAGCGTTAGGAGCTCATTCATTCCTTCATAATTTAGCACTGAACGCTTCCATCTTTGTTTAAAGCATATTGTTTGTTTTTGTGATTTTTGGCGTGTGCCTTCTGCGGCAGCGGTCGGCCTCATTTGCATTTCTGGCGCTTTCGCAAGCGCCGTTGCCATGCACGGACGCGTGTTTGTTTACCCTGGCTGCTCCTTTCCTCCCCGGGCGCATGGCGCAGTGTGCCGCTCTCGACGGGATGTGCTCCATAAGCTGCGAGAATGAGGTGAGTCACCGGCCGCTATCCTTGACGCCCCTGGGTCCCCTCCTGCTCTGACCGTCACTCACCTCGCTGTCTCCCCACTACCTCCCCTTCGGCCCTGATCCAGGATATCAACTGTTACCTCATCGACAACAATGGCTTCATCCTGGTGTCTGAAGACTATTCCCAGGTACAGCACTGCCTTCTAACGACTGAGCCAGGTTCAGTAAAATCACCCGTCATTAACTAAACGTGGGACATCATTACCAAGGGAATCCTTGGTACACAGTGTTCAGCACCTCTTAAAATCTTCTGCCGTTAAAAACACATTGATCATCCAGCTGTTTATGCAGCTTTTAGCCTGTCTATGGTAGCATAGGACACAAGGTAGGGCTGCAGTATGGATGGGATGCCAGGGCATAACAGGGCACACAGGCTATGTGCAGTTTAGACACATCACTGCACCAGAGTGCATGTCTTTCGATTGTGGGAGGAAGTCCATGCCACACGAGTGGAACAGACAAATGGCAGACTCATATACAGGCTACCCACTGTACCTGCTTGGTTGCATGCAGCAGCTGAGATGGATATTGAAGCAGTAATTTTTACAGAGTCATTTTAACTAAGGCCTTCGTTGTGTCTCTTTCACGTCACTGGGGGACTCTATACACCATCCTGGCTCCCGTCCTTTGAGTTTGATTCCCAGTCGGTGGAGTAAATCGCACATGGAGACTCCCACAGCCCTGCCTCACACCCGCTCCTTCATGCCTGTCACCCATTCATTTGGTCTCTCACCCCCCTCACCTCTCCTCCACAGACAGGTATGTTCTTTGGTGAAGTGGAAGGAGCCGTGATGAGCAAGCTGCTCTCCATGGGCTCATTTAAAAGGTGAGGGTGTGGTTTTTTTGGGGGGGAGGGTGCATTCGGGGAGGAATGGGCCGTTTTTCGGGGTTGGTATGGGGGCACGTAGAATGTAGTGGAGATCCTGGTGCCTGGCCACATCTCAGCCAGTCATGCTCGGCGTTCACGTCCAAATATAAAAAGGGTGTATTGTAGCTTGTGGTGTTAAACATCAGTTTAGGAACAGAAACCATGTCTGATTCTAGTTCAGTTCAGTCATTCCCTGAATGTGAGCAGGTTACACTGCTCAGTGTTGGGGCCTCTGATATGTGGCATGTTTATCCCAGTGAGCGCGGGGGGGGGGGGGGAGTTCCTCCCCTCTTCCCCTTGATCCTTTCGCCTCTGTATTCCCCCTCCGGCACCTTTTATTTTCCCTGCAGGAACCTTTATGCTACCCTCCTTCAGTTGCAAATAAAGTATGTAACTGCAGAGGAGTATGGACACTGAACAGCAGACTCTTTTATACAAGCACTGTTAATCAGCTCAGATACCATTTTGGAAGGTGGTCTACTCCAGCGGTTTCACCATGGAGAAGTTTGATGGACAGTTTGATCAAAATTTTAGCAGTATTTACCACACTCGTGTCTAAAAATTTGGTAATGCTTTACATTAAGTACACCTTCATAATGCATTCATAATGCATTCATAATGTATTCATAGAACATTCATAAGCAGCAAGTTCACCATAACATCCTAACATCCCTTAACAGCTTTGATATATATTAATAACAAATATTACATGATTATACAATTATTTTGTTTGTAATTATTATATAATGTTTGTTATTAATGTATATTACAGCTGTTAAGGGATGTTAACATGTTAAGGTGTACATACATGATGTTTATATGAATACTTAATGAATACATTATGAAGGTGCACCGAACGTTTTTTTTTTAATGCAATATAAAAGCATTATGAAGGTGCAGTTAATGTAAAGTGTTACCAAACATATAGCCTACATAGTTTTTTCCCCTCATTCAAACCATTTAACTATGGACACAGTTGAGTCTTGCAAAGGACACATTTGCCCATATATGGGCAGGTTGATAATCCATGGTCTAGTACACGATTACCAAAATAAAACGCTTAATGTATCACATTTTATGTAATATTATTCTTCAGTAAATATGATGCTACGTAACATGGAATCATGGGTCTGTTAATTAAATATCAAGGACAAAATATTGTATTGTTAAAAAAACTGTTAACGGGCATCCCTGGAACCGAAAACCGGTGTGAGCGCGTCGTCTCTGAGAAGCTAGCTGAATGCTCTGCACGTTTGAGGTCGCACAGCATCACCTAAAGGTACCAGAGCCGATTAGCTGACCATCAGCAACCGGCTACCTCCTGACAGGCCCAAAGGTACAGCCAGTCTCCACACTGACAAGCTACATCACAGGCCCAGCTAGCAGATGCCGAAGCTCAGACGAGAAGCGTCGTTTGAGCAAGAAGTTTCGACCCACAGTCCCAGACAGCACTTCAGGCAGCCAAGGCAGTCATCCCTCCATTTTGACGTGGATCAGTCCTGTATTAGCGATTTAGCTCCATGCTAATCCTAGAGTCTTTGGGAGGAGAGAAGCTGCCAGAAGAAAATCTTCAATATTTAATTTCACCAAAGTCAAATGAACTGCTAATGCTATCAGTTCCTTTCGCTTTAATTGAATCAAGATCCACATTCCTTCCTGCTGTCATTGCTAATGACAGATAATCAAAACTTCCCCCCTGGCTGTATGCAGAGCAGCCCTGGTCTATTAAGACGGTGTCAAGCTGCGTCTGACGTCCCATTAGTAATGTGCTCCAGATTGCGCCTCCTCTGAACAGGCTGAGCCCCTAAAGCCCCCCGCTTTCCACACCACACTCTCCCCACACCTGACTCCTACGTTCCCGTGAACTTTTGGGAAAACAAAAGCTGAGATCTCCCAGACGCCTTCTCAAGACCACCTCGGGCATTTAATAAACACACCGCATTCTCCGTCGAGAGAGTCAATCCGCTCTTCGTGAGCTCCGTGATGCTTTCAGAGGCCCTTCACTGCAGAGCTGACATTCATCTTATTGCCGCTGTGCCCCATTAGTGGGACCCAGATTATGGATCCAGCTCTGATTGGTCAGTCTGCTCTTAAAGCATTTACCAGCCCCTTCAAGGGCAATTTTATTCTGCTAACGTGGGCCTAAGTACGTTTAAAGCATTTATTTACACTTTTTAAAATCAAATAAACATGAATCTGTTTTCATAGTGCGTATGCTTTAAATGACAGTTACGTGGGAGATTTTATGTCGAGGCTGAAATGATGGTGGTAGAATATTTATGCTGGGGTAAAACATTGTATAATCATGTCTGCCTTCTCCTTCATTTCACAGCTGAAGACATTACGCCCATTTTCTTAGCAGATACTTTCATTCAGAGAAACGTCTATAAGATGCTTACATCAGTGTTTCCGTTTTTTCTGCCACTTTTCATATGGTGATTATCCGAGGGCACACCACTGATTAACACATACTACTGACTGGCACTTACCAAATATACGTATCACATTGCTCTTAACCTGTTGGTTCAGCTTCAAGTACGTTTTCTGAAATTTTCCTTTTCAAAATTTGTCCATGATTTTGTCTTCTTGCTACAGGGCAAGGTCTTGTCTTCTTGCTACAGGTGCTAATTGTAGGGCGGCTTATTCTCAGCTGCATTTGATCATGTGACAAGTGCACTTAAAGCCTATTGGACAAATGAATGAAATGTCACTTATGCTCAAAGCTTTTTCTTTAAGCCACTTACAGTACATTCAGAATTTAACTATCAGTACTAAGCTTATTTTATTTGGCTTCTATAAATATATACACATGCACACATCACACCTGCCGCAGTTCAAACGCCACACCGGCTTAAAAAATACTGGCTTGTATCGTCAGCTGAAGTCATCCAAGTTCTTAGATTATGGGTAAAATTAGCCAGGCCTCTTCTGGGATTTGAACCAGGACCCACTGAGTCTCCAGTGCAGTTCTTTAATCACCAGGCTAATGGCTGCTCTGGTGCATTTGTAGTTTGGTATGCGTGAGCATGGCCAGTCCTCAGTCTCCAGTGCCGCGTCGAGGCTCTAACCCAGTCCTTCAGTCCGTGTTTGATGGATATAAGATCCAGTGATTAAAACTCTCTTGTGTTTCCTTGCTTGCCGAAGAGTCGCTCTCCAGAACCAGTGGAATGGTAAATCAAGAGATAATTTACTGAGGACCTGAAAAAGCCAGCATACAGCACCTTGTGTAGAATTCTATCATTTGTAGGCGATCTGGTTATTATTTTCTGTGTATTTAGAGGTTTTACCTTCTCAGGTTGTTTGTTTGTTTGTGTCACATAGGCTTCTCAGTAAATATTGCCCTAGCTGCTTACTGTACACAGCGAGAAAACTCAATTCAAACTAACTAACCAGACCTGAAGCGAGAGCTTCCTGGCACCTCAGTCACACATTGTGTAGAACTGGATCTCCTCTCACACCTTTCTTACTTTTTAGGGTTACTCTTTACAACTATCAAGCCATCTGTAAAATCGATGCAGAGAGCAGTGCCAGTGCACACAGTTTATTAGACGTAAGTATTTTCAAGTATAACCTCTAAGGTATTTTCTACTGTACCTATCAAGAATTTCATGGTTGTGCTGTTTCCCTTTTGATTTCCTGGAGGAACAGTACATCATTTCTGATTTCCTCTTGATTATATATGTGTCCTGCATGGTACATTACTTACTGCGTTCACATAAATATGTTTTTGAAGTCAGATTTCCTCCCCATTCACTGCATGTGAAATGCATTGTAAAAACAAATTTATGAAAAGAAACAATATTATTACTGCATTTGTCAACTGCGCTTAAAATTCTTTCTCAATTTTGGTCTATTTCTAGTCTTTAGTCTATTTTAGTCTGTTCTATTTTGGTTTTTGTTTCGTAATGCTGAGTAATCAGCCAGAGACTATATAATTAACAGTTTGTGAAATTCAGTGCAATTACACAAGTATGGATACCTGCATATTTCTAGATTTTACTGGAACAGAGCAACACTGACAAGTGCAGATTTATGTCGGTAGTTTTATATGCCATAATTTTGTGGGTTGGACTTATGTGCTGTCTGTGATTAAGTTCCGAACAGTCAGTGACAGGTCTTTAAAAGTGGATTCTGGATCTTTCTCTCAATTCCATATCTCACTGCTAGTATGTGGTATTTGATTTATTTGTTGCCATTTGGGGAAATTCTCTCCTAGGTGGTCCCCACACATGACATGGGGTAGCCACATTCATAATGACATGAAATTCAGTAAGCTGTTCTTTCATTGAGCAGTTTATGAGTGTGCACGTATAGATCTCAGTTTTGATCAGACCAGCTTGATGTAGTAATTTCCCCTGATTTTTTATTGTCTCCTTTCATTTTGTTTTCTCTCAGCCTTACCTCGCTGTCTTCGCTGCTGTGAAATGGCTCTTCACTGAACTTGTCATGTAAGGACACCTGGAGTGACTGGTTTACAGTGGCTTGGTCGGCGTGTAGGGCTGGCACTCCGACGCTGTGAGGTTACCGCGTGCCGTTAGTGCATGAATCGCGGTGGCGCATAATCATAACCGTATGTGGAGGCGCTGAGCTGGTGTCTCCCCGCCCAACGTGCTTTTAAGGCCTTCCTCCTCCTCCTCCTCTCTCCTGGGTGGTCTCTAAGACGTCTGTCTTTCTTAGTAATTATGGGATACAAGTTAAAGATTTCTTAATGTGCGTAATGTTTTCGATCAAGGTAGCCTTTAGAGTTTGTCGTCTCTTTTGTCTTACACGTCAGTAAGAAACATGGCTGATGGGCACACGTTAATGAACAAGCCTGTTTTCTGCTTTTATTGAACTGAAAATGAAATAACTAGCTGTGCTGTTTGCTCCCAGACCTGTAACATTTAATTCTGTCATCTGCGATTTATAGATTCCTGGTGGAGTTTAACCTGTACAGCTGGTGGCACTCAGACCTCACTGCTACAGGTGAGTTTGACGCCTTGCCTGCTCACAGCTGCCCAGTGTCTCTGATTGGATGGGAAGGCTCCTGTCCCCGACTTTCTCATACTCATTCGTCTGAGCAATTATGAGTTCTCATAACTTACTGGAGTACGGCTAAAGACAGGCAGATCATCTGAATGTTTAGTCTGGCAGCCACATGCACTTTTTCCACTCTGTCTTTCATCCATCCTTTTTTCTCTATTGTATGAATAGTGTTTGTTTTTTTTTCCTTATGAATAAAAAGAATAAGAACAAGATTGTAAAGATAATGGATGTCAAAGTCTAATGTATTGATCCTTCGGTCCTTGTGAGGCATTAAAATGTTTGGCATATAATACAATATGTATCTACAATCACATGCATTGGAAGGCACATAATACATAGTACTAGGTAGGACATGATTCTGCTTCTAGAACCATTTCAAGAATAGACCAGTTATGCTTTCTGGACACTGCTGTTGTACTGTTATTTTTTAACTTGCGGACTTCCTGTTAAGACTTAATGAATCTGGCTCTTCCACATTCATTTTGCCACCCCCCACCTCATTAACAAGGTGTTTTGGCCACCAAGATGCTATTGACTAGATGTTTTTTTTGTTCATTACACCATTCTTTGTAAACTCCAGAAACTGTAGTTTGTGAAAATCCTAGGAGGGCTGCTGATTCAAAGTTGCTGGAACTGTCATGACTGGCACCAAGTCACACCACATTCAAAATCACTTAGTCTTAGCTATCCTAACACTTAGCCGCACAATAACTGAACCTCTTGGTCCTGTCTCTGTGCTGCATGTATTCATTTGTGGCCACAGGATTCGCTGACTGCATGCAGTGTGACCTAATAAAATGGACATTAAGTGTACACTATCGCCAAACCATCTACAAAGGAGTGTGATAGTGTCGCGTCACATGACCTGGTCACCTGACCTAAACACAGTAGAGATTGTTTTGGAGGAGTTTGACGAGAGAGTGAAGGAAAAGCGGTCAATGAGTGTTCAGTATATATGTGGGACCACCTTCAGGACAGCTGGAAAAGCTTCCCATGAGAGAACCTCATGAAACTGGCGTAGAGGAGACCGTAGGGTCAGCCAGTCCCTGGAGCAATTGAGGTTAATGGCTTTGCTCAAGAGCCCAATGGTGAGATCACTCTGCCGACCACAGGATTTGAACCAGCGACCTTCTGAGTCTCAACCCACAGAGCTGCCACCCCAACAATTTTTTTTGTTTAAAACTTTTCTCGTCAGTGCATAATTCCACATGTGTTATTTTATAGTTTGATGTCTTTATAATTATTAAAAAATTTAAAAAATAGTAAAAATAAATATTTCTGTGAGTAGGTGTGTCCAGACTTTTGACTGGTGCTGTATTTATCATATATGTATTAATTTATAATAATAATAAACAAAACATTTGAATACAGCATATACATGTAAACATACAAGTTAAAGACAGACCTAAAATGTACAGTAACTGTAAAGTCACGTCAAAGTCAATAGTTTCAAGGTGTAATCCGTGTGAATTGGTTTGTACAGTAAACTGTTTATCTTAATGTAAGGACAGTGTTCGGGGCATTGGGTAGTTCAGGTCCAGAGAGTAAAAGTCCAGGCTAAGATTTTGTTTCAATAAACCAGTTGAACATAAAGAGTAACAATCACGGAGTACTCACCTGGTTGGTTGAAGCAAAATCTTGATCTGGACTTTTACTCTCCTGGACCTGAACTACCCACCTCTGGTCAGGGGAAGGCACAGTTTCCCATCCCACCGAATGCGGCTCCTCGCTGTCTTAACCCTGCCGGAGAATGATGGAAACCCAATTTTTGGGAGCCCATTTTGACTGTGAGTCGTCTGCGATGGAGACACATAAACTAATCCAGAGATTGCAGTCATGAGCCTTCTCAGCAATCATAAGCCGCTCTGCTGGTTCTCCATCCTGCTGGCATGTGGTTCTGTAGCCCTCTGGACCTGAACGCGCTCTGCAGTCATTAAAATACCTGCATAGAAACGGGCTCCTTTGAAATGTTCAAGCCTCCCTTTGATTGCAATTTGAATGTTTGCTTAAGATGAGCTTGCTGATGTGATGCATTTTTAATACAGCCAGGTACAAGCATAGTCTTGTGGCTTTTAGATGTTTAATGCAGCCACAAAAATGTGTTTTGCCTATATCACGTTTTCCTCTATAGAACAATTCAACATAGACTTCAGTGTATGCTTTGTATCAGGTTAGAATACACTTATATGCAAGCAGGGGTGTTTCCTGTTTATGCAGCTTGTCTTCCAGAAGGATCAGTTTGTTGAGAGGAAACTATAATCCTTGTAATCTATTTATCTATGCCAGTATGGCTCAGATGACCTGACAGACTTGTATCCAGTGTAGTAATATTAGTAACAGCTTGTAATTTAACTAAATTAGCACTAGGTGGCAGCATCTTGAAACTAATAATAGCTGTTTGAGGTCAGAAAAGTTTTCTTTGTCCTGTGGTCTTAGTTTGCCTGTCTTTTTATTTAGCATGCTTGTCCTTGTTTTATTTATTGGGGAACTATTTGAGTGTTAATTTTATTAGTTTGTTTTCACTGTTTGGCTAAAGAGTGAGTCAAATGAAATATATAATTAAATCGAAATGTGAAACACTTTTTTGTTTTTTTTTCCCACTACTTGTGAAATAGCTGCAGATTTCCCAGTGTGGCCGCCGTCGTCCTGCCCTGCTCGTTCTCGTGACCCGTGCGCCTCTCGTTTCTGCGTTCTATCCGCAGCCCAGCGGAGCGGCAGGACCATGGTGGTGCCGTGCGACACTGAGTACCCGGCCTTTGTCTCCGAGCGCACGATCAAGGAGACCACTGGGAACATCGACTGCGAGGGATGCTTGAAGTGTGTAAATGTTTATTTATTATGTTCCTACCCCCCCTCCCACTGTGCACATGTCAGTCCAGTGCCCATCGCTGCACCTGTTGGTGCGTGACTCGCATGTGCACGGGGACCTACTTGTACACGCACTCAAAGGAACGGACCGTAAAACACAGTCGGCTAATCTGCATGCCAATGAGTGCTTTTCCATCAGTACGGTTAACTACCGCATTACTTAGAGTTTTTTTTTTTTTATTACATTTGCCTCATTTCCTTCTTTCCCAGTTTCGGCTTCTTGGGGAAAAAAAACGGAGGCCTGTGCTTTCAGCCGCTCGTCGCGGAATGCTGTAGAAAGGCGCCCATCCTGCTCCGTCATGTTTTATTTGCTGCAGTTGTCTCACAGTCGCAAACATTTCATCCTGCAAACTCTCCCCACTGCGCGATTATCGCCATTTTCTCTTGGCTGTCTGTGGTGGTGGTGCGTGTTCAGTTTTGTCCTCAGTCATTTTTATGTGTTATGCTGAAGGGAGGGCATAGTTTAGAAATACTTAACATCGCTGGCAGTGTTTATCTTTTTTTTTTTTTTTTTTTTTGTCTCCGTTTTTCACTGTTGGCTGGCAGCGTGCGGGGGCCTCGTAACGCACCTTAAGCATGTTAGCAGTATGTCTTCGTCCGCCGGGTTGCCTTTCAGGTGCTAGCATTTCCCCTGCAGCAATGTTGTCCTGAATCAATCACTCAGTCCTTAAAGTGCACCGGGGCCCACAGCTGTTTGGCAGCAGGCATCTCTGACACCCCCAAAGGGGTCCCCCCGCCCCCCTACCACTACCACTATATGATTCTCCTTTCCCTATGCAAACCCAGAGCCCAGAGTGAACCAGGTGATGGACCTGATTCAACCCAAGAGTTTAGACAAAACAGTAGACATCACCCATACAGAACAATGCAACCTGATAGGTATGAAAGAGGTGCTGGGCTGGGCATTCTGGGAAAACCCAGCTCTGGGGATAAGCAACAGCTATTCCCTGGTTACGCTCCATATATAACAGACGTAAAATTAATCCTGTGCTGCGTGTGAGATGCAGAGGTGGTGTGTTTTTAATGCTTTGGTTCACGAATCAATACTCCTTTCTTTAAGACTAGGTGTGGCCTCACATTACATCATATACAATTGTGTACTGATTGGCATTATACACCGACTCGCTTTAATCCATGCAGATAATGTCCAAAAAGGTGGAATACACAATATGAATAGATGTGAATTTTATTACCGTGTTCCCAGGAGAACAGGTGGATCTTTAAATGTGTGTATACTCAGAATTTTATGAAAAGCAAGGCATAATTTGCTAAATATTATTTTGGTGTGTCAAATGATTTAAAGAGGGAAAGGATAAAGTTTTCGGTGAATTCATTATCTATAAAATGACTTTTCTTCAGATTATTACCACATAGGCACTATTTCAGTTAAACCATAACTTATTAACTTAATAGGCATTTGCACAGGAATTTACTAACTTTGTATTAACTTAAGTATGTGGCCTCTTTACACGATCTAAGAACTTCACATTCAGTGATTTGGGTTAAAAAGTGCCCGTCTGACTGGCGCCGGTCCAAGGTGGTTCCCGTCGTTGCTCCCCGTTGTTACTGGGCAGCTCTCCAGATTGACTCCGCAGCCCTCTACTGGATAAGCAGTTGGATTAGTCCTGGAGAAAAATACGATGTGAATTCTCATTTAAATAGTTCAACCTACTAATGGGAGACCCGATTTCAAAGTGCTTTATCTCAGGTGAGCAGGTCCCTCAGCTCTCGGGTATCTGTGAAGCTGCCCGCTGGCTTTTCAGTGTTGTGTGTCTTCGGGTTGAGGTCTGGGATGTCTCACCACCGTGCCTGTGTGTCCTCCTGACAACATCAACACAGTGACTTCAGCTTTGGCCTCCTGGCACGCATTTATCTGGCTAGCCGCTGCACTCCCTTTCCCTGAAAAGTCGTCTATTTACCATTACATGAAACCCTCGGCATTATCTCAGGGCACGGGGAAGTCAAGCTGAGAGATTCTTTGTAAGTGTTCTGGGCGGGCTCTCCCAAACAGCCCCGAATTCTAACGAGATGAGATAAGCCGCAGTCTTTGTGTGGAATACTGTATATCTGGGCTGTTCCCGGCTTCTGCAAGCTCGTCTTACCATCCGCCGGTCGCCAGGGGATTCCTGCGCTTACCTTGGCCTCGGACTGGACATGTGGCCTTAAGCCTTGTTTAACACGTGTCGCCGCCATTATCTCCCTGGTCTCAGCTCCCAGCAGGGTTGTCGTATGGCAGTGTTTCCCAGTCTGCTCCTCAGGGACCCACCGATAGTTCACATTTTTGTGGGAGCTGGGAGGGAGCAAAAATATGGACCAGCTGTGGGTCCCCAAGGACCAGATTGGGAAACGCTGTTGTACTGAATTTATTTACTCACTTCCCCTTTGGTTTAGTTGTTGATTAAATTGTTTCCTTTGAAAAAGAGATAAAAAATCCCCCAGTACTTGTGTATTGTCCACAGTGATGTGAATTTTTCTTTCCGGGTGCAGGACTGGAGAAACTTGTGCCTTAGTTAATTGACCAAAGTTCTAGAATTCGCACAGTTTTTGGTAAATTTTTTCATGTCATGATATTTGTAGAGATGATTCCTATTACCATCTCTCACACTCACCATTGCCTTCCCTTCCTTCCGTTAATACAAATAGGTATTTTAATTCTCAGATCACAGTACTATAAATGAATGTTCCACACACACCCCAAAGCAGAGTTTTGGACCTGGAGGGCCAATTTGTAACACAGTTTGCTGATTTTCCTCCTCAGGCACACCTACTAAACCTGGTAATTAGCTGATTAAGGTGTGTTTGAGCTGGGAAATCTGCAATTTATGCTTGATTCTGGCCTTCCAGGACCAGAATTGGGGAATCCTGCTGTAAAGCTAATTATCTTTTCATTAAACAATTAAGCCAAAAACAGAATTAATTGTTTAATATCCTATAACCACTGATTAATTTTACAAACCTTATCGATATAAATGTTATTCACAGTAGCTGAATTTCTGTTGAGTTGTCCTTAGCTTGGGCCTCTTGAAAAAGCTCGCTTTCAGAAATGAGAAAATTAGTGTGGTCTCCATTAACAATTTAGTTTTTTTTTTTTTTTGTCAAGCAGTTGTGGGGTGTTCTGTGCATCATTTGAATAAACCCTCATTGCTTCCAGCTGTGGGAACGATATATGAAAAGTGGGATGTGTGTGCATCCGCGTGAGGTCATGGGGGCGACCGAAGAGAGAGCGTGCCAAGAAGAAAAAGAAGCTCATGATATAGGAAAATCAAAACAGTACTGTCACAAATTATAGCTGAGGTAATATTTAAACTACTAAAAAGACCTTCTGGCTAAAGTACAGCAAATAGTGTGGGACATAGATCCTGCTATTGGAATAAGGATGGCAGGGCTCCCAAATACATTAACGAATTTACAGCGAATGGCAACACTGTGTTAAACTGTAAATCTAAATACGTCGTATGTGGTCACAGAGCCACTGAAACCCCCACTGAATAAATGCCCCCAAATTCTAACTAATCTGATTAAATCAGTGTAACTAAGTTAGAGTTAGAGGAAATCTACTTTGTGTTATGGAAAACGATTAAGGTGAGAAAAGTATTCTGTTTTAGTTTGAGGATATTTGATTTGGAAGTGTTAGTGGTAAACACTTTATTAATGTTATTATGCAGTATATATTTACTTAAAACTGAAAATTATTAATGTGCCATTGCGCAAATAAAACTTTATGACTTAATTTTACATATGTGATAATAATCTATAATAAGCTATAATAATCTAATTGCTTATTCTTAATGGGAAATCGGCATCTTTTTATTTTGTTTTTTGCATATTGAGTTTTTGTTGTTGAATGAGATTTTGTTTCAGTATTTATGTGTTGTGGGTATAGCAGCTAAGTTGTTATTTTTGAATTGATATATACTTATTATAAGTCGCTGTCAATATAGTGAGCTTGAACTGGGAAAAAAAGTAATTCAGTTTATCTTTATGTATTATGGAAAGATACTGTTATTTTACAGTGACAACGGAGTGGCACCAGGTATCACGTGAGCAGAAATATTCACACTGATTGTTATGCCCGTCTCTCATTCTCCCTGTTGGCACATGTGCTTGTATTTGCACTGTTTGTTGCCTTTCCTATTAGGAAAAAAGGTTTTGCATCCGTTTGCTCGTGATGCGCCCATTCCCTCCATCCTCCTTCCCAGCTCTGAAAAGGGATTCCCATACAAACTGCTGGTCCATTTCAGATGACCTCATGTTTCTGTTTCTTCCATTGTATAGTAGGCTAAAGTTAGAAAGTTGTCTGCATTGACTTTACATTAAGTGTATACACTTACAGCCCAGCGTATAGTGTTTTCCATATATTCCAATGGTTGCACTCAGTCAGCTGGTTAGCAGTGGATTTGGTTGTGCTGTTCCGGTCTATTGTGTGTTTATTGACTGTATTGACTAAACACTTTCCACGTTACTTTCCACACATGGATGTGTGGTTATGCAATTTTTATTTGACCTGAGATTTGCTGACTTTTACTATACTCCAGTATAACCCTCCTATTATGTTATTAATCGCTTTATTCCTCAGTAAAATTGAATTTCACTTTTATTTGTGAGTCATGAACTCATCCGATTTTTTAATGCAAATACTGCCATTCGTTCTTTTTATCTATAGTTTTTTATTTATTTGCATAAATGATCAAGGTTCAAAAATTGTACAGTTTTTGTTCTAATTATTCATTCGACCTTCTATAAACATCTAATTTGAACAAACTTTGCTATGTTTAAATTTCTCTTACATTTTGGTCCATTTGCATAAAATTGAGAGTGATGCTCATTCTAAAAGGTACTAAATTATGGAGGTAAATGAAATGGTACCCCAGCCTCTGAATGACTGACAAAGTATACAGTTCAGAAGCAGCACACTTTTCAGAAACCGAATACTTTTATAATCATCATGATCTATGCATTTTCTTATGAAGATGGCTCAGATGAACCATATGTCATGATTGTGCCTTCATTAGTGAAAGCAGTGGGACACCATAGCCATCCTCAAGAGAAGAGCTGTGACCTCCTGCCATCCACACAGTAACACCAAGGTGCATTCCACTGTAATTCCACTGCATTCCACTACATTCCACTGCTAGCATGGCCTGTAATACAAGCATCTACTCAGATCCATTTTATGGAATTTACAACTCAAAAGGAGACGCAGCTGTTACCATATACTAGCCACGAAGAATGTAGAGATTTGAAGGGAAATCTTTCCAAATCATACTGTATCATATCTTTGGTGAATTGTTATGTTAAGTTTGATACCATACATGCTTGATGCAGGAGACACAAGCTGGATGCAGTCAGAGATGTATGGGATAGATGAAGCATAGCATTTAGATTTCAGCATCATGTGACGATTAACCTATTTATGGAGGAGCAGGAGAGAGACATTAAGGGATGTGGGTTGTGCTGAATATTGAAATATATAATGTGTGATGTATCCTTGTGATTGACAGAAGATGGGAAGAATATGGGAAGGTGTTTTCCTTGAAGGTACTTCCATTGTGATATACTCTACCAAGAGCAAGAACATCCCTCTGGGTATAAGATATAGAAGCAATTAGAAGCCACATACCTCACTAAGATAACAACCTGTGCTCCTGCTAACACATCACAGTCCATTGGTGCAGTTGTCAATGTGTCTGTTCCCAGCATAGTGAATAATACTGAATTGCACTGATGCTCGTTGAGAAACATGTGAAGGCTTTTGTCAATCTCCACATTGGTTGCCCAATTTCCCTGCTGCTGGTTCCATTGACCAGAGAGAGCAGGTAACCAGGGTTTCCTTCACAAAAACTCCAAGATTTCAGATTTGTCCTTCTTCCACAACAGCAAGCTTTCATGTGTCCTATACAGGAGGTACATCTGCACATCACATGGAGTGTGGTGTGCAAAGAGTCCTGCTGTTGTGTTTTTGTTGGTAGATGCCTCTGGGAAGCAACAGAAAAGAAAGGTTATTGGTGAAATGAATGTTCCTTCAACATTCTTCTGAAATAACTTGTGAACAGCCCGGGAGAACAGCAGATGTTTGAGGTTCTGGTTATTTTAGTACTTTACTAAGCATGAAGTGAGGGGGAGAGAAAGAAAGATTTTAACAGGGACAAAGGTTTAAAAGTTTTCTTCTGGGACCGCCTGAGTATACATACCTGAAGATGATTGATCGATGACTTTGATTTTCATTTAACATAGTCTGAACCAGAAAATGTGTTCAATAAATTGTGGAATTAAGTCAGCTAAAATGATCTCGAATTGTTAGCCAAGTGAGCCAGAAAAAAGTTCCTACTTTTTAAAATTAGCTATGAATATATTGAACAGCATAAGAGAAGTACTGTAGCTGTTTTTCAGCATAATAACAGGGTTAATTTTTCACATTCTTACCCATAACATCCTGACCAAAGAGCGATTTAGTCTGGCCTGGGAGTGCAGACTGTTTGAACGGAGTGGTGTCATTGGCTGTTGGCCCTGGGCGGTAATTACATGAAACTGTTCGATTTATTACTTCCTGAACAGTGATGAGGACCAAGATTCTGTATATTTAGTAGAAACCCTCTCCTCTGTTACATGTCCACATTTTCCCTCCGCTGGGCGTGTGAGGCCCTGGAGCCTGGAAGAGCTTGATAAACCCACAGAAAAATGGATGTCATGTTTACGCATGACTATATTTATGTACTCTGCCATAGATACAGTTTCACAAAGGTTAGGTAGGAACCAAGGTTAAGTATGTTTGTTTAGCTTATGAGCTCCGTTTTCAAGACCAAGTAATCTTTCAAATACGGCATATAATGTGTTTACAGTACTGACAGGAAACTGTCCAAAAAGCCACGTTTCTTCAGCGTACATCTAGGAGAGGGAGGGAAAGGTAATTCTTTGGCCAGGTTGTTTCTTACTTAATAATATCACTGCAATACTGCAATATTTTTGGAGGCAGCATCTGCTCTGCAACATTAAAGTAATTTCAAAAGGACTGAGCTATAAAGTGCATGGCTCTAAAATGCATGCTTTTCTGATTGCAAGTTAAATAACCTGAGAGCCTTGGTAATTCTTGCGGTTCATCTAATGGAGTCCACATCCAAAGCCTTCACATGTTTCTCAACGAGCATCAGTTCTGCTGGTTTTTTTCATACAGATATGGCATCTTTAAAATCCCCCAGGATGCTTCTTCCCTGAAGTGAAACCTCTGACCTGCATGGTGCGTGCTAAGGTGGATTGAGGAGTTGAATGGTACCATCAGTTGCATGCAGTCGGTCATTGTGATTTTAAGAAGGAATATCTCTTGTACACATTAACATGGTGCCTTGTGCAAAAAAGCACCTATAGACTTTGGTTGTAAATAGCTCCAATTCATTGTCTTTTCCTGCTATTCTCCACATTTCAGTAACATGGGGGTGAAACAGTGTTTTGGAATATTCAGGCCCATTAGCAAAGCATTTCTGGGGTTCTGGCTGCCTGTAGTCAATGTCAAGTACAAAGTAATAATTTTAACATCAAGTGTCTGTTACACCCAAAGTCCATAATTTTGAATTTAAAAAATACAATGTAGAAATTAATAAAGATCAACTTTTGTTTGGGGAAACCTTTTAGCAGATGCATTAGTGAATCAGAGCCTGAAGAAACCGGCTGAATTGCATCATTTTAGTTTTAAATGGCAGCATGAAAAGTTTTTTAGCCTTGAAAATGGTACGATGCTAAAGCTGTCAGCCTGGTAGACGTGCGCAGCTAGCAGAATGTTCTCCGCTACATCTGCATGTCCCATGGCAAACTGGAATGAAGCCAGCTCCATTAAATAGTATGTAGGAAGTGAACAGTGTAAAAGCATGATCTTAAATCTTCTCCAAACAGCAATGGCGATTCGTCTGATTGCCTCGCCTGATTCCCCAGTGTCTAATTAAGGTTTTCATAATTTGCCACATCTGTTTGTGTTTTGGAACACAGTCATATTTTTAAATGATTTTATTTCTTCCCTCAGTTAAGCCAGCGTTAACATTTGTCTGACCATTTTAAAATTTCTTGTCAGTGTCGGGGCTGGCAGGCTAGCGGCTAGCGGGATCACCTGTCCGCTTCCCTATTTATTTATTTTTTTCAAATTGTTCTTTCAAACAAACCCCATTTTATTTAACTT